ATGGTGGACACTTCATATAAGCCAGAGGCATAGAAGAATTCACGTAGATCCCAGTGGCAGTGGAAAAGTTTTGTTTGTCCCCAGCACATATATATATCAAAAGCCAGCAAACGTTTTTAGCAAGTTCTTATTCAGATCTTGTTCACTAGCATGTTGGAGCAAGGAGGTTATAATTAATGGAACAAGACTTTTCGACATTCAAAATAAGATTATTTAAATTAGTACGCCTACAGAAAAAGAGGAAATCAGTAACTAATTTCGATAAAATTTTCTAGTCCTCACTGATATTCGCCGATAGCTGGTATCTTTCTTACCTAGACTGTTACATCTGTACCATTAATCGACATCACAGCTGAAAGATTTTTCCTCTCCAAATTATCTTGTTTCGCGTCGTTAATTCTATTAAGTAACATGTTGATTATTAACCCCGCTAACAGTTCTTACACTATAACAACAAGGAAAACTGTTACAGGTATGGAATACGGAGTTAATAGCCAGTCGAAAATCCTAGTCTTCAAAAACATAATTATGGGAAAAATTCAAAACGTCACTCAATAGTAGAGTAACACACATAACTCACTTGACTGTAACACCACCACTGGTTCTTCAACAAAGAAATCAGAATTACACTCAGATTGTTACTCGCAGTAAAACTGGTGGGCAGAATAAGTAAATAGGAACAAGGCATCCTGTGACTCAAGTGATAGCCTACTGCTCAGGAAGCACGGAAAGATGACTATATAGCCTGCCTGTCGCCACTTAAAACCAGCCACTGCGCGTTTGACTGTAACCTCTATAGTGCATGGGTTTACCATTACTGAGATACTGTAGTATCTAGGCAGCACTATAGAGTCATACTTATCCAACCCTATCCGTTTTTCTAATACGTTTGTCCAAGGCGCATAATCACCTAGCCAAAAATCTGAAAAATAGCTCAGAGAAAGGCATCACCCTTAATACACCTACCAGTACTCACTACAAAAGCTATTTCGCCCAACAAAATACCAATGAGACTTGTAGATGGATTTTCTACCGTAGCAGTTCAATTTGTTTCCAGTAAGTGTAAGTCGAACGCACCCCCCTCCTAGTCCAATATCAGAACACAATAATTCTAGGAGAAAGTGGTCTATATTATGTTAAAATGGAAATACAAACCAATACCTGACTTTTGATACACTTTCCAAGTCCCAATTACTCCGATGAGTATCCGAGTTTAAAAAGAATAAGTGATGCTAGATCCAACCGCAACAGTATCAAATCCAAATATGGCTGTAGCCATATTATATCAAATTTAAACAACATATGTACAGTTCAGAAGCAAACATAAAAACTTCAATATAAGTACAAAATATAGAAATAATAACAATATACAATGATAAAATCTCAAATTGGAATCAGATAAAATACCAAAATGTCAACAGAAAGAGTCCGTCATGTCGTAACAAAAATATATAAACATGGGGGGATTTTCCAAAAAACAAAACATTCAAAAAAGATTCTACAAGACTGGCAACAAGGGCAGCCTCAATTCGAGTTGCCATGCCAACGAAATCACCAGTTGTTGTGAATACCCAAGTATCTGTTCACATTACGGAGCAGTGAGTCAGTGTAAGAAAGGGAAACCGCCATACAGAATCTCTAAAAACGCTACAAATCAGGCACAGGGACTGAAAACAAAATTTACTAATTTTATTCAGTGTTCCACTGTTTTAGGCTACCTTACTAAAAAGCATGTCTGTCTTGGTCAAAACAGCGAAATAATAACTACACAGTCCTTGGGATAAGCAGTACCCCGGCCGTTGCCCAAAGGTCAGAATTCGGGTATAGGAAAACCCTGTCTATTTAGAGTATTTTTAGACTCAGCACAAATTGACAAATAAATCCTCCTAACATCTTCTCGGAGACCATCTGTTACAGTGACCTCCTCGATTCAAGTCAGCCACAACAAACCGTGGTCAGTATGAGCGGCTGTCAGAACATTAGAAGACACACAAAAACAGTAACTATGGTAGTTACTGGACTGTTTTGGTTGGTTAGTGGTAGCTCGGATGTAGCTCACGCACATGATGTGCAACAACAGCGGTGGCTATCATGTTGCAAAGGCCTTCAAACCAGCGTGGTAGTAAACACGCTCCGATCGCCTTGTTCGCCACAACTCATGACTATTAAGTTTCTGCGTCTGATGTCAGTGAACTTCAGAAGTCGGGACAACAACAGAGGCTTGGTTGAGCAGTGCTAAAGATTCTCCCTAGTCACATGTGAACCATGTGAACCATGCTAAATCAGTTAGATAAAGGGTCAAAATAAACACACGCTAATATCAGTAGACGCCGATCGACAACTCACGGCACAACACTAGAACGATCTTGGTCCCGCCGCTTGAAAACGCTACATAGGCAAAAAACATACAGCGGTCAATGTCCACATAACTGGACAACTTGCTTCAAAATCCTACCGAAACATGGCTATCCCTCCTCGTTGGAGATGAGTTAGTAAGCTTTCAAGGCAGCTCCTACTTGGTTACGTTCATATCCACACATCATTAGGAAGTAGAGACCATGACGCAGTCATTTTTAACACGGACATAAACGAAGTAGTTAGGAGGGACGAAAACAAGCCTTGCCTTGACTACAATAGGGCAAACTACACGTGCATGAGAGAGCATCTCCTACTTCCCCCCTATGGCAACGACAATATTGAAGGCTTACAGTAGATGACAACTGGCAAAGAAGCAAGATCATTCAGAACACAGTCTTACACAACACATCTCAGGTAAGTCAAAATCTTGGAAAAAGAAGAACGTTGATTCGGCGATGCACTACGCGCTTGCTACAAGCGAAAAGTCTCTTTGAAAAATTCGGGCCGTAGCTTTTCCTCGGCACTGAGAAACAGATGCAAGGACAAAGTTCGAAGCGATGGGACACAGTTCCAGGTAAGACCAGAATCCAAAATACTGGCCAACCCGAAATGTCATTTTAGGGTCAAGACTAAAAGTAAGTCCAAGAGCTAGGGTGTTTGTACAGCCAAAGGTCATAATGCTATACATCATACCATGCACGAGATGACTGAGATCTTTAACACCAACTTTACCGATCAGTTACACAAAGTACAAACACTTTCGGAGTGCTGATTAAACCTAGTGCCAGCTAACGGTTTAGGGAATATCCGACTTACTCCTGACGCAGTTCTAAGAAAACTAAACTCTGTGAGCCCTAGAAGATCACAAGTTTGTTAAGATATTCTCATTATAGTCACGGAATAGTGTGCAAAAGCCCTCAGTTCACCGGTATGTGACCATTCACTGGAATTACACCTATGGAAACAATCCACTCGCTCTTCAAATCCCAGTCCACACTGAGATTTATATTCTGGGCATATTATTTTCCTACCACGGTGCTGCGGCCCGAAGAAGGGACATGCAACCAATTCTGCCCAGGAATAATTTCGTGATTTAGCTTCTAGGAACAGAAATGTTGGTTCATAAAAAATTCCTTGACTTCGCTAAAGCGTTCCCTTCAAAAGCACACGTACTCCCGATCGCGAAGGTTGAGAAAATGGGCTTCATTGATTCACTTGTAATTTGGCTCAGAAACTACCGTGAGATCGGAAATTTTCGTGCTAAGGTTAATAGAGAGCATGCGAGCTGGTGAGTCTCAAATTAGGAGTTTTTCAGATCTCCATCTTAGATTCACTCCTCTTCCCGATGTTTATAAACGACCTGTTAGATAAAATTAGCTGGTTGGCACCGATCTACTCAGACGATTCATAGATATGCAGATCCATGACATGCGTACAGGGTTCAAATGAACTTCAAACTAGACTTACATCAACTGAGTAATCGGTAATGGATAACAGATTAAAAGTAGGAATTTGGCGTCATGCAAACTCTACCTGAAGTGACACGAACAACTTACATTCTCAATGGAAGTTCGCTCCGTAATATCTCCTCATAACATCAAGAAGCCAAAACACCAATCCAAATCACATAGGGGATGCCGCCAAGGCTAACACAACTCTTTAGTTTGTGCGAAGACAACTTGGTGCTGTAACCACGCAGCTGTTCCTAATATAAGCAAGGCCAAACCTCGGAGTTAACAATCTCATCCCAGTCCCTCCACTTATGATGGTCGCAAATCACCTGGATAGAGTGCAGAGACAAGCAACTAAACGGGTGATAGGATTATAGAATATACCCTTCGAAGATAGATTCTAACGCTTGAGATTATTCCTTTTTGTTCACAGGTGAGTCAGAGATTATCTAATAATTGCGTAGAACACATTAAGTACGCCGAATCATCACAACACAAGAAACCTGCCATAACATCACCACCTAGACCCTTGAGGTCACCTTTGAACAACTGCACATCAGAGAGTAAATACTCAGAGATGTCTCAGCTTCGAATGCCCTCCAAGCTGATATGACTCAGTTCCTCAGTGGATAGCTTCAAAAAGAGACCTGTTAAATACGTACTCGCATAAGGATTGTCATCTCCTTCTTGGATAACCTGTGCCTAAATACTTGTCTAGAAACTTGCTAGTTGTTATCATATCATTTTCCAAAGTCATTTAGCTGTTCTACCTCGCTTATCATTTCTATTCTTACTTCCTTACACTTCTTCTCTGTCACAACATTAAATACCAATAAATAAACCTAATTATATACACTAAAATCTCATTAGCATTAGAATTTTCTGCTCAATATTGCTCACATTTAACTAACTGATCACTGACCTAGCGACCTGATAGCTTCTGGTATCCATAAACCTACTGATTTCGGACAAATGTACTCATTCAAATCATGGGATATAAAATCCCACAAACTGCTTACTCACCAGAAACAATGCAGTTGAGTGGTTAGACAAGAATCCGCATGACATTAGCAAATAAATTTAAAGAATCAGGGGCAAAGAAACCAACTGATTAATACAAGCTAATTTATGAAAAGATATTGGATTTGTTTTAACCTTTCAAATGTAATGTTTCCATAACTCCACGAATAACTTGAATTTAAACTACATAATTTTAGGTGTATTCAACGAGTAATTATCTATTCTTTAACCTATTTTACGTCGTATAGATGATAACTATTTATTGCTTTCATCGATAAATGTGAGTGAATTTTTGTGAGTCATCGGCTTACCAACGTGTTTTATTCTTTTCCAGATTTTCTTACAACATCCCACACGTTTTCTGAGTACCAAAATCAATCTTCAACTCTACTCAAGCCACTAAAAAGATGATGCCCACGAATTTTTCTTTGATAAAATATGACAATCCTTTACTTATAACTAGAAATACAGTCAAAAAATTTCCAGGGGTAATCTAAATAAATAAAAATTATAACAGTTTTCAGGCCGCTACTTTAAAGGGAACTCAAAAACCTGTGGACACTGCTGACATTCCTGGTGTTTCACCTAGAGGAAAGACGAGCGTGACTGAAGCTAAGAGCAGCCAACAAACAGAAGAAATATTAAACTCGATCCTTCCACCTAGGTAGATTTCCGAATTATTCATCATCACATTACGAAGAGAGTGGAGTGAAAATAATCAGCTTTGGATTCAGCGTGTTTCTAGTACGCCAGCAACACGTCTTGATGTTGTTGGTCTGCAAGAAGAGCTCGACAAACGATTACAACAACGTCAAGCAAGAGAAACAGGAATATGCCCCATACGCAGAGAACTTTATAATCAAGTAACAAAAAGTGCTTTTACAATTAAATACTTCTCAGGTATTTGATGAGTTAATAAGACAAGTGACTATTAACTGCGCTGAACGTGGTTTGCTTCTCCTTCGCGTTCGCGACGAGATAAGGATGACAATCGCAGCATATCAAACCCTGTATGAATCAAGCATAGCATTCGGTATGCGTAAAGCTTTACAGTCTGAACAAGGGAAAACTGATATGGAACGAACGGTATAATGAGCTTTTATTAAATTTTGTTTTTCAATCAATATATTCTCATTAAAACATGCTCACACCAAAATCTGTTGATGAACTTCTTTATATTACAACTGGTTTTTTAATTTTATCTGTTTACTTACTGGTTGGGAACTAACAAGCTAATACTTTAGTCACCTATTTTCGATCTTGGTTACAGTACAGTAGCGCCATAAACATTCCGTAAAACTTTGGTTCCTGGCCCACCAACAGTTACACAGATCAGCATGGCAATCAGATAAATTAAGAGCCCCTAAGCAGCCAGCCAGACAGCATTCCATTAGAGGCGCTGAAAGCAGGCGTAGCAGCAACTGAAAAGATACTCTATATTCTCTTCAGCATGATTTTTAATGAAGAGCAAGTATCAGCAGACTGGAAAGAAGGATACCTGATCATAATACTAAAGAAAGGTGATCTCAGCAAGTATGAGAATTACATAGGCACCACTTTTCTCTCAATATCAGGAAAAGTCTTCAACAGGGTGTTTTTAAACAGAATAAAGGACTTTGTAGACGCCCAACTTCGAAATCGACAGGCTGGATTTTGTAAGGATCAATCGTGTACTGACCAAAGTGCAAGATTACAGATCATTGGGGAACAATAAAGTGAATGGGATCCACCACTCTACATCAACTTCACTGACTACGAGAAAGCAGTCGATAGAGTGAACAGGAAAATACTATGGAGGCTTTTTCGACACTACAGTTTGCCTTAAAATTCTTATGACGGATTCAACTGCAAAATCGTGCACGGGGTACAAGTGACAGATTCACTGGAGGTGAAGACTGGTGTCAGGCAAGGTTGCTTACCCTCAACCTTCATCTTTCTCCTAGTGAAAAAATCAGCGTCTGGAGAGAAGCAAAGGAAACAGAGGACAACTAAGACGCAGCTGGATGATCTGAACTTCTTCGATGATATAGCTCTTCTATCCATTACATAACAACAAATTCAAGAGTTTAGCAGCAACCCCAACATCAATAGGTCTCAACTTACACAAAGGAAAAAGCAAGGTTCTCAGATACAATACAAAATGCAACAATCATATCAAACTTGACGGTTAAGCTTTAGAAGATTCAAAAAAGGTAGACATAGGTGTCCTCCGTGACAAGAAATGAAAACAAACATGAGAATAATTTGTAGCAATTAGGAAGAACTGGAAAGGAAGGCCGAGGACAGAGTAGGCTGGAGAATGCTGGCCGGCTGTCTTTGCTCCATTGGGTGGGAACAAGCGAAAGTAAGTAAATAGTTTTCGGTTCCGGAACTGGGACAAGAGAATAACCCGAGCACCCTGCTCTCAACTAGAAATTCAAACTCAGGGGAGTTTAATGTTCTGCGGCAAAATGAATACTCATAAATGAAATTTTCATTTTAGTGTAGCTCAGAGAATACTGTACCCGATTCGATTAAATACCACATCATTCAAATTTAGTCTTAATGAACAGTATGTTAAATGGTATCTTTGACAAGTAAACGCTTATTCCTCAATTAAAATTGCTAGACATCAATAAATTTGAATGAGTAACTATTTTAGCTATTTAAAACTATCAAACAAAAAATGGTCTTGTAATTATAATAAGCATTCCACAAGCTAGCCGTGTATCTAGAATCATCCAACCTATGAATATCAAGTTCAGGGCACTCACTTTGGTTGAACACGAAAAAGATTCGTAAAAGATATTATATTGTTTTACAACAGCTAAACTATTAGACTCTTTTGTCACTAACTTTACCACACTGAAGTACTATGAATTCTGAACTAATAAGCCATTAGTCCAAAAATTTGAGATAAAGTGTCAACAGTATTACTATTCCTATGACAAATTTTAGGATGAGATTATACTGTGCATAAACATGGAGGATGAAAGTGTGTCACTAGACCCAGTGAAAGTTTCCTTTACACCCACATCGGATTCTTTACTTCATATTGAGTCTTTCATGAGTATAATGATCGATTGAGTTGAACGGTAATTACTGTTTGAGTTGGGTAGACCAATAATACCATGCTTGTATGACTTTCTCAGCCTAAAAATAGGTATGAAAATAAAAAGCTATCAATAACTTGAAATTCGCTATTAATCAAATTTTTGACAAACCTCCTTTATTATTTATTATTAGATTGCTGAATTAGAACAAGAGAAAAAAGATTTAGAAAGACAAGTGTATGAATCCAAAACTAAATGTGAACAGATTGAAAAACGAGCAGCTGAACAAAGACAATTGGAAGAAAAGAAGCATCAAGATGAAATACAATTTTTGAAAAGAAATAATCAACAACTTAAGGTTAGTCGATTGAATTTGACAGTGTGTGTGTAGTAGTTATGTTAGACAGACAGACAGATACAACGCAGAACTTCATACGTAAGTAAATCAGTTCAGGTTGACATACCACTTTAGCACAGAGACGTAACTGTCAGTTCAAATCCAAGAGTGATAGCAATAATAGAAGTATTAGCAGTAAGGACTAAAGATATGATTCGAGAAGTATCATTCAGTGTGATAAATTTAGGAGGAGAAAGATAGAGATTATGAGGAATGCAGAAGGTTAGAATTAGAGAGAACGCAAACAGTGGATGCACCTGAGCCATGTCGTTCAAGGTCTCTAACCATCAGTGACTATCGTCTCGCGGACCCCAACCACGTAGCCTACATCTACCAACATCACTCACTTCACTTGTCAATGACTTCATGGATTTGTGCCGTGTTTTATTCTGGTCGCCACGGGCTATCTTCAAACCTACTCTTACACTAGAAAAACATAGCTCAACGATACAGTCGGTGGTTGGGTATTCGTTACACTTGTCCCAACCGCCTCATCTCATAAAGTTTCGACGCTTTATCTATTCATCTGCCATCCTTACCTAATACCCGTTTCCTAACAACTGAATTGCTTACACCCGATAGTCTCACGATGTCACCATAATACTCAATGGATGGTTTGTAAAAAAATATGCCACCTATGTTGTAAATTTAATTACTGAAAGCCTAATGTGATTTCCGAAAAGTCTCATTGTCATAACTCTCGCTTATTTACAACTCAGCTTTTCTTAATGCTTAGTATTTTTCGGACACTAATTCACTCGAAACGTTCTCCCAAAAATCAGAACACACTTGAACAGGAAATAGATTATGCTCCAATAACGAGGTTAGAATGAAAGTTAAATAGTCCAAAGGAAAAAGACATTCATTTTTTGATAGTTTTTGTCACACGACAAGATCCTAGAATGTTCCCTCAGTATCGGCCAGCGCTTATTGGATACGAAACAGCCAATCAGCGTGCAACAACACAATCATGCTTTAATCCATCCATCCAATCTATGATGCCCCACTAACACTTTTTACAAAAAAAAACAATGATGTTCATTGATCTGTATTTCATTTTTTAATGCAGTAGCTCAAGTAATCATAATCTGTATTGATTATTTTTTTCTGATTCTTTTATTTTTTGTTTTAGGCTCAATTAGATGGAATAATGAATCCGAAGAAATAAATTATCCGATATATAAACAACGAAATAATTTCCATATACACATTTTATTCTTATTTCTTACTTTAAAGCTAATAAAAATCGATATAGTTTGATAATAAATCCTCTACTGATAGAAAAATCTTCACTTTGAGCTTGATGAAAAGTCAATCTACACTGTGGTAATAGTAGAGTTGTAGTAAAGGAAAACACAGGTGGGGCAATCGAATTGTATTTAACGAAAATTACAGAGTTACTCAGTAAAATCGGAAAACCATATCGTAAATCGTTAATTCGCAAAATATCAGTTCATCATATCGAACTGGACTGTTCCTGTTGCAAAACATCAATCCATTGTCACTATTCATGCGTTTCATACAAATTCCATTGTTTTCTAACTCTTCCTTTCTTGATCTTCCCCCATCTTCTGCTGCCAGACATTACGTTGACACTCACGTCATATACTACTTATAAGTAGCTCGCACCACAATACTACTGAAAAGTCAATCTACACTGTGGTAATTATAGGAGTGTTTGTGTTCAAATGTGGTATGGCATCTTGAACTGATGTACATACGTAAGAAGTTCAAGGTTGTAAATGAGTGACTTGTAAATTAGAGTAATTGAGCATCTTTTTCTTGACTCAATGAACACACTGAAATGTGTCAATTTAACGATTAGCGCACTAAGAAACATTTACGATTTATACCAACTCGATATGACATTTAATTGCACAATGAGAAGAAGTTTACAAATTGTCAACAAGAGGGTATTATATCAAGCTAGAAAATATCAGTGAATTGTGAGTAAACATCATTCATATAAACGGACATTTGTTGTATACAGTTGTATAGTTATTCTACGATTGCATCTCTCAACTAAAGTATTTATCATTACATATGATTCAACAGGCGACTCAAATGAACAGCTACTTTGTTTAGACAATGAATGAATGAACACATCTA